TATTCTTGTGGATAATTCAGGAGTGCCGCCACCTACGTTACTCTTGTGGATAATTCAAGAGTGTCGCCCAACCGAACTTACTTGGTGGATAATAATAATGTCCCCCTTTGCTTGCATCCTCCCCCTTATCCCACCTACCTTTGTTTATACCCATCCTCCCTCCCTTTGCTTTCATCCTCCCCCTTACTCCTTTGCCCCTCTTGGTAGACTAAGGGTAAGAGGTCCTTTGTCCACCCCCCCTTTTTGGATGTTGTAAATTTTTGTACCAGCAGTGAATTAATCCCAGGCTTTGGTAGGTGGTACAGAGGGAATAGTAAATGGCGTAGTGGGAGGGGTGAAGAGAGTGGTCTCGAGGGGTGGCGGTGTCTCCCCTTCCCCGCCCCTCACTAGTCTCTTGGTTGTGGTGGGTGTGGTGGTACATCCTGGTAGTGGTCCACATCTCCTCCTCTTTCTCCTATCTTCGCTTCTTTTCACCCCCCTGCTTCCTTCTCCAATTTCATCCTCATCTCTCTCTCTCTCTCTCTCCCTCCCTCCCTCTCTCCCTAGGATATCCATCACCCTGGCTCTGACCCTCAGTGTTGGTAGTTGGCCTTCCTCTCTCCTACCCTCCCTCCCGTTTTTGTTTTATTCATCTCCCTTCCTCCATTCTCTTTGGTATGTCAATCTCCCTTTCTCTCCCTCCCTCCCTCCCTGGCATATTCATCTCCCTAGCGGTGTGGCCACTAGAGCTTGGAGATGGTCTTCCTCCCTCCTGCACTCCCTGGTTTATCTATCTCCCTGTACCTCCTTTCCTGCTATCTCAGTCTCCCTGGCTGTGTGAAGTGCTTGTGTCCTCTCTCCCTGACTTTTTCTTCCTCCCTTCCAACATTTGTCCCCCTCCCTGCCTTTCTCTCCCTCCTTGCCTTTCTCTCCCTCCTTGCCTATGTCTATCCCTCCCTCCCTCCCTCCCTCCCTGCTCCCCTCTCTCCCTACCCTCCCTGCCCCTCTCCCTCCCTGGCTGTGAGAGGTACTGGTGTCATCACAGACCAGACACCAACTCCTCGGTGCGCCTGACACATTTATGATTAAACTTCAAAGGCATCGAAGAGTTTGATTCAGGATTTAACATTTTAATTATAGGGGGAGGGAGGTTGCCCATATTCATTCTCTCTCTCTCTCTCTCTCTCTCTCTCTCTCTCTCTCTCTCTCTCTCTAACGTCCTTCAGATTCAGAGTTCACCGAAAATAGTTTTGTGTGAGAGAGAGAGAGAGAGAGATCCGTCGAACTTACAGTATAGGCCAGAAATGTTTCGCAAATTCCTAAAGTGAAGAGTTACTCAGTGGTAAACAAATTCGAGCACTGAACTGTCTTGATCTTTCAGTTTGTTTTGATTTAGATCTTTCTGTCTTATTTAAGTAACTTTCTTCCTGCTAAAGTCTCTGCTATATTCTTCTGTCAACTTAAACATTTATGGGGAAAAAAGTCAATTGAAAACATAAACATTCTTCTTCTTTTTTTGTGGTGATCAAAGAGTTGTTGGTTTTTTTATTCTCAGAATCGATTGTTTTCTTTTTCTGTATTTGTCGGAATTTCACGCATGGATGACGAAGAAAATGGGAATATTTGAGTTTTCTTAGAGAGCTGCACCAGCTGAGAGGGACCTATAGGCGACCCGGCACTCTCTCTCTCTCTCTCTCTCTCTCTCTCTCTCTCTCTCTCTCTCTCTCTCTCTCCCTCCCCGTCTGAATTTTTTCCTCGCCTCTCTGCTCCCGACAGTTTGATAAAGAAATGGAATAAGGCATCAACAACTTTCCAAGAAATTACACTGGCAATCGGAATAGAACTTATAATCAGGAACGTCAGGACAAGTGTAGAGTATTACCAGGTGGTGACGGGAACCTGAAGGTGGTGCGGGAGATTACCTGAAGTAGAATTTTTTTTCTTCAATGTCAGAAGTGTTTATTTCCACTCCTCCTCCTCCAGGTCTTATCCTCCTCTCTCACTCCCAGGTCTTACCCCCCCCAGCAGGAGGTAATCCAGAATGGTTCGCTCCGATCTTCTTTTATTGAAGCAGTTGGCGGTGACACGTTTTTTACATATAATTGGTGTTGAGGCGGCGCCCCCCGCGGCTGCCACCTTTACGGTGTTGTGGCCGGGGCGTGAGGGCACCTGGCCTCCACCGTCAAGGAGGTCCTCTTATGACCCTCTGCCCCGGACACCTATGACGTGGCCTGGACCGTCCACTGCTGGTTTTCTCATATATGATAATTTTTAGAGGTCTCTTTTGACCCTCACAAAGATGGCGGCTTTGGTGGTGGTGGCTGGTCCTTTTGACTCTGCCCTGAGCACTCGCGGCTTGGCCCTTAGCGTCTACCACATCCACAAAGGCGCTGGTTGTTCGTCTGTGATAATTAATTGTTGAAGAGTTTCACTACGACTCCTTCCCAGAGCTAACATTTTGTGTCTTTTTCCGGATCACTGCCCCCACAGCTTGATCTGCAATTAAGCTTACCGAGTGTCAACCTGATCAACCAGGCTGTTTCTGATTACAGCCTCCCGGTGCAGCATGACAACAGCAGCCAGGTTGATTAGTAACCCTTTGAAAACTTCAGTTGGTCTCTCAGAGATCTGTCTTTTATTAATTGGTAACAATGAGAAAAGTGTTGCGCCTCGGATGGTAACAATGATGTTCTCTCATTGTAGTTATAAATTCTTTACGTCTCAATGACTTTTTTGCTTCATTCTCACTCCAATTAGTCATTGTGAGAGAGAGAGATTGACGCTAGGATGATAACACCAAATGGGTTATGAGAGCTAATACAGGCTATTGTAATCGTATGTGAGGAGGTGTATGTTACATAATGTGTGTGTGTATGTGTGTGGGGGGGGTGTGCATGTGAGTGGGGAATGTGAGTGGGTGTGTGTGAGTAAGAAGTGTGTGTATGTGACTGGGGGCTGTGTGAATGTGAGTCGGTGTAGGAGCGGAGAGGAACATTGCAGCCACGGTGGAAATTAGCATAGTCAAACAGCACAGGTATTGGATGTCCGCCTCGAGTAAACACTTGACGTCACCCGCACACGAGGAGCTAAGGGGAGCTGCACCTATTGACAGGGGGAAGGGGTGTTAGGAAGGGCTAGGGGGAGGAGGGGGAGCTATAAGCCTAAGGGGATGGGGTGGAGGGGAGGCTAGAGGAGGAGGAAGAAAGTTCGAAAAAAGGAAGAAGGGAAGAAGGATAGGAAGAAGAGAAAAGGGGAAAACTACACCCATTGGCTCGGGGAAGGGAGACGGGGGAGAGGGACTAAGCGAACTGTATTAAGAGGAAGGAGGGAGGGAGGTGAGGAAGATAAGGTGAAGGAGGTCCTGTGGGTGCATGGCTCCTCCTACCTCTCCCCCTCCCGTCCTCCCCCCACCTCTCCCCCCTCCCCTCTCCCCCCTCCCCCCACCTCTCCCTCCCCCACCCTCTCCCCCCTCCCCCCACCTCTCCCCCCTCTCCCACCTCTGGATCATCAAGGTTCCCTCTGACGTTGCCTCGGCTACACTGCCACCTGGGACTGACTAAGAATACAGATATGACATTGGTGAGACGAGCCAATCAGTCATCCAGCTAGACGCTCACTCACCAAGCTTACAACCACCCTGCCATGCCACCCAGTCTATCCAACAGCCACCCACCGTCTAACCACCCACCCACTCACCCATGGTTGATAGTTGATCTGACCTAGTATTATTACTTTGTGTGTTGGTGGGAATAATCTGCAGAGAAGGCAGGAATATTGTTCTTAGGAATAAGTAATTTGCATATACCGACTGGTTTTACTAAGGGATGGTAGGAGGGAGAGGGAGGGGGCATGAGTAGGGGGAAGAGGGAGGGGGAAGGGGATGGGGTGGCTGTAGATCTTGTTTCTCATATTATCGGTGGCATTTTAGGTAAATTGTGCAGGTAAACTTCGCCGTGAGTGGGTGACCAATTGACTAAAAGATACTGGCACATATAGGAAGAAAGAAAGAGGAGGAGGAGGGGGAGGAGGATCGGGGCAATTTTACGAGTGAGTTTAGTTAAAAGAGTTTTGTATGGTAATTGCCCCGGGGTCGTGTTATTCCTTGGAGTTGTTGATCGTTCATAGGTCGTCCCTCTCCTACCCCCTTCCCTCTCCCTTCATCTTCCACTCTCCCTACCTTTTCCATCCCTCCTCCTCCTACCCTTCTTCCCCCTCCTATCTCTTCCCTCATTTCCCCTACCACACCCACTCCCCTCCCTTCCCTACCAGCTCGTTCGGGAAAAAGGTCACTGAAATACACAAGTGAATACAAACTATTAAAGAATTAGGTGTGTGTGTGTATAAAGAACAAACCCCCTTATCCATTCACTTATTACCCCCCTCCCAGTAACACAGCAGGAGTATATATGCAAGAGAATTACAGTCCTACTCCTCCGCGTGTTAGTCCTTCTGTATCATATCTCTGTTGATGCGATAACTTTGGTGTTATTGGACAGTAACCCCGGGCGGTGGTGGGAGCAACAGCCGCAGTTGTCGCCCGGTGAACGTGGCAACATTGATGGTATCGCTTTGTTTATGACCAGTGTCGTTTTCTGTGATGCTGGGGGGGGGAGGGAGGGGAGACTCGGGGATTTTTTTTATACTATTACTAATATACTACTAATGATGATAATTTATAGTAGTAGTGGTAATAATAATAATAATACGGATCACCTGAAGAATTGTCACCCCAGAGTTTGGCAGGGTGACAATTCTTCAGGTGGGATATCCTGGGGTGACGATTCTCCAGGTGGACATTCTGGGGTGACAATTCTTCAGGTGATCCAATAATAAAAATGATATCTTTATTTCAGAGATAGACTAATAAAAGAACATCAGATTCTTGTGAACGGTTCTGGTGTTTATATGTTTTTCCTATATTTATTTACACTCCTACTGTCTTGTGTTGATGTTTAAATAGTATTCTGACAGATTGACATTAACAAGTAGTGTATTAACGTTATGTTTGTTGTGTGTTACAGGGACAAAGTCATCCGCGTCAACATGAACAACGTCAGTCAGACCAACTGTGAGGTGAGTTACCGACGTTCGCCATATATTTCAGTTACTACATAATACTTTACAAATACTGCTGTAATTATAAGTCTCATCTAGATATTCTTCCATACTTTTTAATATTATCTAGATGTAGTTATGTCATCAGTTACAACAATTATATCACTCTTTGTATAATAATTGGGTTATGTAAGTATATATATGGCAACTTTCTAACCCGTCAAATCAAAACATTTCGATCAGCTGTGTTTACATCTGTCAGCTGATGTGGGTCGGGAGTGAGGTGATGAGGTGAACCAGGATGTGTTGACAGGGGGAGGGGGAGAGGGGGGTTGGAAAGGATGGGAGGTAGGAAAAGGGGAGAGAGAGGGAGGGGGGCAGGAATGTCAGTCTAAAGGTTAGGATAGATATTGAAGGCAAGGAAGGGGAAATGAATGGAAAGGAGCTAGATGAAGAGGAGACAAGCAGACGAGGAATAGGAAGGGAATAAAGGCAGAGGTATGACAGTTAGGAAGGAAGGAAGGGAGGGGATAAAGAGATGGAGGAAACTCAGGGGCAAGAGAATGGAAAAGAAGGGAAGAAGCAGAGACAAGGATGGGGAATGGGAGGGACGGAGCAGAGCGGGATGGGAGCAGGTCAAAGCAAAGCAAAGCAGAGCAGAGCCGGACACGGGAGGGCAGAGGGTAGGGCAGGGGATATGGCAGGGCAGATGGTAGGGCAGGGAAGGTTAGGAATAGGTCAAGGCAGGACAAGGGACATGGCAAGGCAGGGTAGGAGCAGGTCAAGGCAGGATAGGAGCAGGTCAAGGCAGGATAGCTCACCCCAGCTCGCCTCAGTCACGACACACCACAATTATCTTTTTTTGTTTTTTTTACCAGTCGTTTTTCTCTTGAGGGAGGGGGAACGTTGCTCGTGTGGCCCGCGGTATTAGCACTGTTTCTGCGGCCACTGGATGAGTTGTTCCCACTAAAGGGCTTGGGCAGTAAGAGTCTTGTTGCCGGAGTTGTCACAGAGGGGGGGGGTGGCTGGCCATAGTAGACTACCCCCCCCTCCACCTCCTCCTCTGTGGCCACGTGGACTGCAGGAGGAGGAGGAGGAGCAAGGGAGGCTTAGACGTCCTCACAAGACCCACATGCAAAACCTCAATTTAGGATCTTGGTCTGAAGAAATCCCTGGAGGTTGACTTAACTTTTAGTCTTTCTCCTCCTCCTCTTCTTAAACTCTTCTCTCCTCGTTTACGGTTTCTGTTTTTTTTTTTTACTTTAGTCTTGGTGAAAGCTCTCAAGACCAGCTATTGTTATCATATTCTGTCTCTGTCGTCCGTCCGTCTTCCGTTCGCATGTCGTCTGTCTGTCTGTCTTCCGTCCTTTCGTCAACACTACCTTCAGCCAACATCTCTTCAACCGCTGTCAATATTTTCGTCAAAGTTCACCCGTCACATCAGTATTATCTCTCATGTTTGGCCAAAGAGCGCCGATCCCACATCAAATAATGTCTCCTTTAGGTGAGCCACTCGGGGCCATTTGACTCTCGTGTTATTATTCTCCAGCGTCTAAGGTGGATGGATCTTGTTGTCTTGCATCTGTCTTTGTCTGCCTGTCTGGGTTTTTTTTGTGTTTTGTTTATTTGCGTTAAAAAGGCTGGGAGGAATTAAAGCCAGGTAAACCTTAAGATCAAGGTAGATTGATTAGCGTAAGTACTCTCTCTCTCTCTCTCTCTCTGACACACGAGCACCAAATTACGGATAATCTCTGGGATGAAATTTAACCCCGGAGGAACAGTCTCTCTCTACCCCATTCCACGTGTTCTTGTTTTATCACTGAGATGCTCCTTCTGGTCGCTCGTGGCTGATCCCTTGTACACAGAGTCAGGTATCCTCTCCCTTCCGTTCCTTCTTCCTTTTCCACCCCCTCCTTCACCTCCTCCTTGCTGCTTTCTTTCCCTCCTGTCTCCTCCTCCTCTTCCCCCTCACCCTCCCGTCTCCTCCTCGCCGCCTTCTCTCCCTTTCTCCCGTTTCTTCTACCCCTCTCGCCTGACTGAATAAATTGGTACAATAATTGAAAAAAAAGTTTCCTCTACCCAAATTCTGCTTGTTTTAATTGTTAGTGAGGAGGGTGTGTGTTACTCTCTCTCTCTCTCTCTCTCTCTCTCATGAAATCTATGAGTATCGAGGAACCAGAAAGTGAGAGAGAGAGAGAGAGAGAGAGATGTGGGACAGTTTTCAGGGTTTTGTCCCACGAATTATTGGGATGGGAGTGGAGAGAAGGGAATGGAAGGGGAGGAGGGTAGGAGGTTAGTGGGATGAGAAGATGATGGAAGGGGAGAGTGGAATGGGAAGAGGATGGGAGGGGCGAGTGGATGGGAGGGGAAGAGGGTTACCTGGCAGTACACGATTCCGATGAAATTTCATTGGCGGTAGATAATTACAGGTAATAGTTACAGGTAAAGAATGAGTTAATTACAGGTGATAGTATATTACAGGTATAGATTAATTACGAGTGAATTGTTAGTGAAAGGCAGGTAAATGGTTACAATAAATTAGTTGATATTTTAGAACAGGTAATTACAGTTTAATACACTTGCATGTTTAGTTAATCACAATTAAATGGGTTAAGAAGTTAATTAATTACAAGGATGGACTAAGTTAGATACAGGAAGCTACAGTCAATTACGGTTATAGTGGTAGTCATTACAGTAAGTAGTTGAAATTTAGTACAGGATAATTGTTGTAGTAACTCTTATAGGAGAATGTGGTGGGATACAGAGAGTTGTTAGGGTGTTTATGAACTGACTGGAGCATTGTCAAGTGATCTCTCTCTCTCTCTCTCTCTCTCTCTCTCTCTCTCTCTCTCTCTCTCGGTCTATACCCAGTGTTTGTAATTCTTTCATCACAGGTGTGTCGCTTCTGGTACTAATTGTATTTGGTCGCTACTATACCTGTTCCACACTTCTATTTTTGTCAGTGTATTAGTGTGAGCTGATTATGGCCTGAGTCACCTGCTTATCATAACGCAACGGGGACAGGTGACACGGTTGGATGTGGCATGGAGTCACACATAGGTGGTAATGACTCACACACAGGTGGTAATGACTCGCACACAGGTGGTAATGACTCGCACACAGGTGGTAATGAGTCGCACACAGGTGGTAATGACTCGCACACAGGTGGTACGGAATTCACACACAGGTGGTAATGAGTCGCACACAGGTGGTACGGAATTCACACACAGGTGGTGCGGAGTAACACACAGGTGGTACACATACACACGCACCGGTAGAGGTCGTCAGGTAACCGAATAATTTCACACGAGAATTATGGCGGGGTTGAGACAGGCAGCAAGTAGACCGTGTATAATGAGGAGGCTAATGAAGGTGGTAATTAGGGTACACCTGTCTAGTGACCAGGGCAGGTGAGGTCACCCACGTCACGTAATCAAATCACACTTATCTGTTCTGAAACACCGGTACAGGAACCACTACTGTATTTATCTCAGGAATCACCACTGTATTCGTGATGTTTTTCGTTATCTACGGTACAGGTCCAAACATCTTCTGAAAATTTAACTGGCCAGGTTACAGGTGCTGTACTGTTAGCGTGGTTACAGGGTCATAGTGAACATAATCCCTTATTATTACTTATTAACTGATGATTTTCTCACCTTAATGACTCTCTCTCTCTCTCTCTCTCTCTCTCTCTCTCTCTCTCTCTCTCTCTCTCTCTCTCTCTCTCTCTCTCTCTCTCTCTCTCTCTCTCTCTCTCTCTCTCTCTCTCTCTGTTTTACTACTACAACAAAACTAATACATATATATTATTATCATTTCAGACGGACGCCATTATGCTGGAGCCGACGAGTGTATCCAACTGTGTGTCGCGCGGCAAGTCTGAGGTGAGTCAAGCAGCCTTTCTGTGAGTGTGTGTTTGTCCGGAAAGTCAGAAGTTACGCCACCTTTTGAGTGAGTGAGTGAGCGAGTTTCTGTGAGAGAGAGAGAGAGAGAGAGAGAGAGAGAGAGAGAGAGAGAGAGAGAGAGAGAGAGAGAGAGAGTGTGTGTGTGTGTGTGTGTGTGTGTGTGTGTCCAATTTACATTTTCTAAACCTGATAAAGAAAATGTTCCCTCAAATAACATAACATCGTAATATAGTTTTCGTCAGTCCTTTTAATCTTAGTGTTGGAGAAGTTATTTCCAGACACTTATCTCTTGAGAAAATCCTTTTTACAATTTTCACTATTTCTGTCTTATCGTCAGTACTTAAGATAGTCGTAACTTCTCTTCCTTCCTCAATACTTAGACTGTTGTAACTCGTAATTCTCTTTTCTTCCTCAATACTTAGACTGCTGTAACTCGTAATTCTCTTTTCTTCCTCAATACTTACTGTTGTAACTCGTAATTGTCTTCCTTCCTCAATACTTAGACTGTCATAATTACTATCTTCCTTCTTCAGCACTTCGACTGCCGCAACCACATCCGGGTGATCCAGCCCATGTCGAGGAACCGCTTGTACATCTGCGGCACCAACGCCCACAACCCTAAGGACCTGGTCATCTATGTGAGTACCTCCCGCGCCCCTCATTCCTTCGTCAGGAGAGAACTGTCAGTAGACTTTGTTGAGTTAAGGAATGGTGACGTGTTTGTTGTTGTTGGGTGATTCTAATGTTATTTTTGTTTGATTTGATAGTGACTTGGGTTACATACATATAGATTAGCTAAACGGTGGTGTCATCTCTCCCTGTAGGCTAATTTAACCCACCTGGCACGCCACGAACACGTCCCAGGTATCGGGTCTGGTGTGGCTAAGTGCCCGTTTGACCCCGTGGACAACAGTACGGCGGTGTGGGTGGAGCGGGGCAACCCGGGTAACCTGCCAGGGCTGTACTCGGGCACGGTGGCGGAGTTCACGAAGGCTGATACCGTCATCTTCAGGGCCGATCTCTACAACTTCACGACCAAGAGGCGAGAGTATCCCTTCAAGAGGACCATCAAGTACGACTCCAAGTGGCTCGACAGTAAGTAAACAAAGAGAGGTTGTCATGTTCTTTAATTATAACGTCATTGATTTTGACTTGACTTTGATTATTGTTGGTTTTTATTTTGACTGAATTAAATTGTTATTGTTTTTATTTTGATTGTCTTATTGCCTTTATTTTCACAATATTACTGACCATAAACCCTTATTTTTTTAAAGTTATAATCCCATCAATTATAACCACCTCGTGTACCTCCTTCACCAGAACCTAACTTCGTGGGGTCGTACGAGGTCGGGGAGTACGTGATGTTCTTCTTCCGGGAGACGGCGGTGGAGTACATCAACTGCGGCAAGAACGTGTACTCGAGGGTGGCTCGGGTGTGTAAGAAGGATACGGGCGGCAAGAACATCCTGGTGCAGAACTGGGCGACTTATCTGAAGGCCAGACTCAACTGTTCCATCCCCGGAGAGTTCCCCTTCTACTTCAACGAGATTCGTGAGTGTTGAAGATGCTGGTGGGGCGGGGCGGGGCGGGGCAGGGCGGGGTGGGGCGGGGTGCAGATCAGATTGGGCCTCAGTCATAATAGGCCCTCAGATTATGGTACTATATTGGTACTCAATTGGAATGGGACCGATTATGTCTAGAGTGGCCCCCAGTTTGATTAAGAGTTTGGAACTACTGCGATTAAGTTGGATTAAGAGCCCATTGATGAGTTATTGTTGATCGACACTTGGGTTGTAGGTAGCTGTCAGATGTATGTGTTCGGTTCCCTTTAGTGAGGTGGGTGTCAGAGTCAGGCAGGTGCGTGTCTTATCAGGTATTTCTGTCAGTCAAAGGTACTTACCTAACAAAGACTTTTCTTTCTATAAGTTGTACCTGTCAAAAATTGGACCTGAATTTGCGTACCTTCAGATGTACTGTACCTGACTGAATGTTGGGTGTTTCTAACTGAAATGTACTGAAGTATTTGTTGTTTAACCATTTGTATCTATCACCTAGAAGTACTTGACCAAGAGTACCTGTTAATGTGCTTTCCTCACTCAGTTGTACCTGTTGAGATATACTTGTTTCATCCGGTGTTGTCGTCACTGAGCTGTACAGTACCTGACCAGATGTACTCACTGTGTTATCTTCCCTGACAGAGTCGGTGTACAAGATCCCCGGTGACGACACCCGCTTCTACGCCGTCTTCACTACCAGCATGAACGGCCTGATGGGTTCTGCCATCTGCACCTTCAGCCTTGACGACATCCAAGACGCCTTTTTGGGCCGCTTCAAGGAGCAGGCCACCTCGTCCTCGGCCTGGCTTCCTGTTCTGACCTCCAAGGTGCCCGAGCCTAGGCCAGGCCAGTGCGTCAACGACACCCAGACGCTGCCAGGTGAGTGTTTGTGATGATCCCAGTCGGTGGGTTATTTTGTTTAGTCAAGGTGGCACGAATTTTGGAGTCACTTGGAGTCTGAGGTCGACAAAGAAGAAACAAACATGGAGGCTGACGAAGAGGAAAACTTGTTGTGGTTGTGGCGTCACACCCGGGGCGTTTATGACTCGATTAATGAACACTTACCGTGAGTAGCCAGCCATGTACCCACTCCTCGTCCTCCTCCTCCTCTGCTACGACGATCATCTCACCCTCCTCCTGCACCTCTGCCCTTTCACCTCTTCCCTTCTCTTAATTCTCCCTACCTCCTCCTCTCTTCCTCCCTGCCTCCTCCTCTCTTCCTCCCTGTCTCCTCCTCTCTTCTTCCCTGTCTCCTCCTCTCTTCTTCCCTGTCTCCTCCTCTCTTCTTCCCTGTCTCCTCCTCTCTTCTTCCCTGTCTCCTCCTCTCTTCCTCCCTGCCTCCTCCTATCTTCCTCCCTGCCTCTTCCTCTCTTCCTCCCTGCCAACTCCTCTCTTCCTCCCACCCTCCTCCGTAAAGCTAGGCATGGAGAGGACTCTTCTAATGTTGGACAATAAGTTTGAGGGGCTAGGTCTCTCTTTACGGCCTATTGGTTCTTGGCGAGTCGCTGATCCTTTAGCGAGTTGGTACCAGATACTCCCAGACACCTATCCCCAGCCACCTAGCCCCAGCCCTGAGCCCCAGACACCCAACCCTCACATCCTAGCCAGACATGGGGTAATCATAATCTGTAATCGATTACAATCGATTACAGTTTTTGAAGTAATCGTAATCGATTACATTCAAAATATAATCGTAATCACGATTACTTTCACGATTTCAATAGTTAATGCATACCGGTATTTCATTTCCTTTTTTTACGATACTGAGCTCATGATATTCAGTAAAGTCATCTACATTCGGTCCTTTATATGACTCAGCAAACATTCACCATCCATATTATGTCTAATACTCCAGCTGCTAGTAACAGTATCGAGTCGGTAAGATTTAAACATTCGTGCTGGTATCCACTGATTTACTTCTAAGTAAACACAGAACTGCTAGCACGCAGACTTAGGCTAATCATTTTATCAATTAAGTGACGCTTCAGCAACGTTACAGTGTGAATTTGTTCATACAGGTAATTTTGAGATTAAACCAGACTGAGTTAGTTTAAACTACACACGAACTGGACGTGCCATACACCGTCATTACGACTTTATGTATAATCTATTATGTCTACCTTTTTAATCTCTCAGAAAATATGTTTTAATTGTACCAGGTTGACAAACAGTACAGTAAAGTTAGTTTTGGTGGTACGTTCGTTTATTTATGCACATTCCTTTTGAAGTAATCATGATTGTAATCATGATTACGCTTCATGTTATCGTAATCGATTACATTACCGATGTAATCGCACCATGTCTGATCCTAGCTTCAGACCCCAGCCATCTAGCCCTCTCTTCTACCCTCACATCCCACCATCAGACCCCAGCCACGTAGCGGAACCTTTAGCTTTCCACCATCCTGAATGTTTTACCAGCTGGGCGCTCCTCCTCTCACACACTCCATAGCTTTATTTTTACGCCAAATACCAGATGTTTGATCCTCCACCGTGGCCTCAGGGACTTAGGGGATCCCATAGCCACTCGGTGTCCACAGTCGTAGTCCAGGGTGTGGGTTTTCAGTGGTAAAGAATCCTCGCTAAGTGACGCTATGTTTGTCTCGCGGTTGGCGGGACCCGGTGGTGTCAGAGAGCCCCTCGGTGGTGAGGTAGACTGCCAGGAAGTTTCCCTCCTGGTAGACCAGAAGAGAGGAGAAGGGAGGGGGGAGGGAGCAGCAGCAACAGAAGGTGAGGTCAACGGAGGAAGAGTAGGTTGTGAAAAGGTAGAATAAGGGCCAGAAGGTTTGAGGAGAAGTGGAAGGGCTAGGAGGAGGAGTAGTAGATGTTGCAAGAAACGGGGGGGGTGAGAAGAGGTAGTAGGAGGAGGCGGAGGAGAAGTAGGGGTAGGAAGAGGACGCACTGCACCTGGGGGATGGGGAGGGGGAGATAATGCACCATAACCTGTCCGGCTGCGGCATCGATCCCCCATCTGGACGGAGACTGGTGGGCTTTACGACGCACCTTTACGAGGGGCCCACGTCCTCCACCAGTCGTACGTCCCCCACTTTATCCCCGCCTTGTATTGTGGTCACCGCCCCCATCCCTCCTTCCCTGCCTCTCGTTTCATTACCTTTACTTCCTTATTCTGCGGTAAAGTCACCCTAAACTGAGCCCTGTCTTCCGCATGGTCTTAAAACCACAGTCAACATGCTAAAACATTCTTCTCTTATTCTTTAGTGCATGATAAACCGAGACGTCTTCACCAGCGTCTTTTTTTTTTAACTTGACTCCTCTTCTGCCGTTCTATGCGCCCTCACTGCTCCTCCTGACACACTCCTGCGCCCTCACTGCCCCTAACTTCCCTTCACTGCCCCTCCTCACACACTCCCATCTTAGCTTCCCTGGGTCTTCATAAGCTTGTCCTCATCTCCTTCCTTCCGTCATTCCTCAGCTTCCGTGTGTCCTCCTCGACCTACACGTCCTCCTCGACCCACACGTCCTCCTCGACCCACACGTCCTCCTCGACCCACACGTCCTCCTCGACCCACACTTACTCCTCGTCTACTTTCTTGAGGGATAATCGCCACCATCATTGACTTTTTTTATTGCCTCATCTCCTCCTTCCTAGTTATTGCTCCTTCCTCCCTACCTCCCTCCCTTTCTTTATTCCCTTTCTCCCCCCTCCCTACCCCTCCAGTACTTCTCTCCTCCCTACCCCTCCAGTACTTCCCTCCTCCCCACTTCTCCAGTACTTCCCTCGGTGTAACTGACCCGTAAACACAGCCCCCATCGTACATTTCACCTGACCTCTTGGGTAAGCTTTGGCATATCCACCGCTTGTTTACCTGGGTTGAGGGGAAAAGACCCGGGAACTTGAGCTGTCAGGTTGTACAGGTGTGGACGACCCGGAGGTGAGGAGGAGGAATGGATCTTTAGCACCAGCGATAGGAGGAAGAAGAGCAGGAGGACTGAATCTCAAGTACCAAAGATAGGAGTAAACAGGAAGTGGGGTGAGGAGAAGAAGGGTCGGAGTTAAAGTACCAGGGGGAGAAGGATCAGAGCTAAAGTACCTGGGATGGGTTGGTTGAGTCACGTCTCTTACCTGTGAGTTTTACGGAAGGGCCATCACGTAGGTCACCCCCCTCCCACCTTCCATCCCCTCTCACCCTTCACTCCCCCTCCCATCCTCCTTTACTATCCTTTACACATTACTCCTTTTCACCCCTTTCTAATATCTCCTTTACTAATCTCTCTCTCTCTCTCTCTCTCTCTCTCTCTCTCTCTCTCTCTCTCTCTCTCTCTCTCTCTCTCTCTCTCTCTCTCAAGTAAATTGATATTGATGGAGCTTCACGAAGTTGTAGGGTCTGGCCGTAAGTTTGGAGGGGGACCTGGTAGAGCACCTCGACATGTCAAGTGAGGAGGTGGAGACACGACCCTACACTACGGCTCAACCCGGAATTAAGGCGACTTATGACACCCTACTCGACCACCTTAATGGCGGAGGTGGCACGCGAAGTCCTCAACCCGGGGATGCCTGCGTATTCAGCTACACTACAGTACTTTTTTGGTTTATCGCCGAGGCCCGAGTACAATTTGACGACATTTAGTACCTCTGTCACTAAACTGCAGCGTAGATTTAGTTAAGCATGATATTTATTTCTCCATGTGGTGGTGGAGGTGATGGTGGTGGGGGTGGTAGTGGTGGTGGGGGTGGTTAAACGTAAGAAAGTATTTTTTTTTTTTTTGAGAATTGGGGATTTTTCTGGTCGTGTCGTGAGGGTTGGTCGTCACACAGACCCTTAATAGGCCCTTGGTGGAGGCTAATGAGTCGTTGGGGTGTTTGTTATGATGGTAATGGAGTGGGGAAAAATCTTTGCTTGGGCCAACTAGAGACCTCGTGGGCATTCCTTCCGCTAGTGCTGAAAATATTAGGTGTTGAAGGGGGGGAGGGGTAAGGAGTGTTTAAGAAGTGGAAACTTATGATAAGGGAGGGGATATGGGGCAGAGGAAACATGTGGGGGCTGAAAATTTTAGGGTAAGGGAAATTTTGACCTTAGGGTGGGGGAAATTTTGACCTTAGGGTGCTGAAATTTGGACCTTAGGGTGGGGGAAATTGATCTTAGGGTGGGGGAAGGGGAAGGATTCTCATAGGGTCATAGATTTAGTTTCTCTACCCAGCTATGGTTAAGTGAGCGTAACTAAGAGACTTACTTAAAAGAACGACACACGAAGAAAAATGAATTATCAGAGAGAGAGAGAGAGAGAGAGAGTTTGGGTGAAAAGTTTGGCAGCAATTGACATGAAAGGGGAGACTACGTTAAAAAAAATCATAGGAGAGGTAACTGAACTAAAAAGAAAGGCGGGTAATGTTAAACACTTGAGCTTAGACAGAGTAACGGGACCCTGGTGTACATATAAGAGTGACTATCATAGGACAACATAACAGTGGTGATAGGAACAAGGGCACAATAGTGAGTGGTATTGAGTTTGTTGCTGTGTTTAGTATCATCGACGTGGTTCCTTAACTTAAAGATGAAGAGAAATGTACTTAGGCGCATTTAGTCTGTTCATATGCACACAGTAGGATCGGTCAGGTGCCTCATTATCGTAACGAACACAAGAACAGAAGCGAGAGGGTGAAGGGTGTTGCGAGACTGGCCTCCACGACCTTCACGAGAGGTTGCCATCCATCGCCACTCTCAACAAACCCTCACAAGAGCTCACGTGAGGCCAAACTCTGACCATTTTCATCTAACACCTCAAGGATGAGAGGCCAGTTTCAAGAGTTGAGAGGCCGGCCTCCAACGCGTGAGGTCGGACTCCACCACCTTTACCGCACACCTCCATGCCGTTGCTCTGCCAATTGCATCTCGCATGGTCATTTCCTCCGTAATGGCG